GGCGAGGGGCGCGAGGGGCAGGCTGGGAGTTGTAGTTCCTGAGCATACAAGGGCGGCTGAAGGCTGGCAGTGGGCAGGACTCGTGGTCCCAGGGTGCCCTGCGCCACAGCCCGCGCGCCCTCAGTTTCTCGCTCGCCACCCGCCTGCCCGCCAGCTCCCTTGCTTGCTCGAGCTTTCGGTCGCCCTCTGCTCGCGGATCGAGGGGCCTCTGCCCACAGCCTGCGGCTGGGAAGGGAAACGGAGAAGGCGGCTCAGGGGAAACGAAGCTGCACTGGTGGTACTGGAAAGATGTCGGGCGAAGACGAGCAGCAGGAGCAAACTATCGCCGAGGACCTGGTCGTGACCAAGTATAAGATGGGGGGCGACATCGCCAACCGTGAGTGCGGCCTCAGGGTTCCGGGAATCGAGGCTGAGAGGGAGAGGTGCCGGGCTGTCCTCGGAGGGGCTGGAGCGGCAGGGTCTTTCGGAGTGAGCTCCCGAGGGGCACGCACCAGTCCGTCGGGTCGGCGTGGTGGAAAGACCCTGTGTCGAGCCGGGGACTGAGCGGCCAGCCCGGGTTGGAGTGTGGAGGTGCGGGCCGGGGACCAGGAGAAGCACAGAGAGGGCCCCGGCAGGCTCGGACCCTAGGCCGTAGGTAAGGATACAAGTCGCGTCCTCCCCTGCCCCTCACCCTTCTGTCCGGATCTCTGCTTCTTCTGGTCTGGCAGGAGCGAGGCCACCTTGAAATCGAAACGCCCAGCTGTTGGCGACCGAAGCACCCCTCTGTTCGGTCGTGGCCCCGGGCCGCAGGAGCTGAGCTGGGGCACGTGTTGCCTAGTTCCCATGCGGATCGCTGGTTCCTCTCTTCCTCCGCTATCGTTCCTGACACTAGCTTCCTCACCACGTGCTTTTCTAGAGCCTTTGCTTCTTCAGCTCTTACCTGGTGGGGGCCCCCTTCATGCCTTGGGCTAGCTCAGGGGGCCGTTGGAGGGCACTTGTCTGGCTTTTCTGGAAGTTATTAATCACTATTTCAGCGCCATTCTGTGCCGGTGGCATTAGCTTTCAAATTTGATTGTTCAAAGGGACTTGACAGTGTTTTGAGATCTCTCACCCCAGCTAAGCAAACTTGGGAATGGGACAAGGGCAGACTGACTTTAGGAGTGTCACAAGTCATCCTTACCCGAGCTGTGCTTTTTCTCAGCAGTTGCCTGCACTCTAGGCAAATGTTTCCCTTTCACTTTTCTCTCTTTCCAGCCCCCACCATCACCACCTCTTTTTGAGCCAGTCTCAGTGTGTAGCCCAGGCTGGCCTCAAACTCATTGATTCTCCTACCCCAACCACTGGGATTACCTGCATGTGCCACTACGCCCAACTCACTTTTAACATTTTAAAACCCACTTCGGGAGATAGAAACTTGTCTTTTGGCTTTTGTGTGGTTTCATCAGTAAAGATAGTTGGAGGAGGTATCCTAACTACCTTGGTAAAATAGATGTCAGAAAAATCAAACCTGAAATTCAGGATGGATCCAGATCATAGGGCATGAACAGAATAGTTGAATACAATGGGCATTTGGTATAGTACGTTCCTTTTTTGGTGCTTATCTTTCTTGTAGTTTATAATTGGAGGTGGTGGTGATCTTCCAATTTTGAAACTGGGGTTACATACCTCTTTGAGATCTACTAAAAGTTATAAGCCATGAGGCCCCTAAAGCTCAGGAAACTTACATTAAGACCATGAGGCTTATATACTTGTTTGTGAGGAAATAAATTCTACATAAATTGAGATTACTTAACACTAATTAGGGTGTCTGAGAAGGGAAGAAGGTAATATTTAACAGTGCATCAGCTTCAACTCAGCAATTCTATGTCTACCTTCCTGTAGTCCCTGACGCCTATAAACTTCTTATGGTTTGCTTTGCATGTGTATGGAGTACCTTGGTGAGAGCCCTTGAAGTTCATAATTCTTGTAACAGAGATACCATCTTTGGAAGTCTGATGCCTTGCCTGAGGAGACAGATTGTATAGGCCCAGTTGTCAGTAATGTAAGAGAGAAAACGGAGTGTTGACCTTTTTATTTTAGGAAAGGTAGAAATTAGAGATTATAGGTGGATCCATTCCAGGAAGTAAAACTTGCTTCCTCTATAAACGCCTCATGACAGCAGCTGTAGGCAGTATCAGAAATTCTGGGTCTAGGGCAGGGGGTTTAGCTTAGAGGTTCTGCTGCCTGCCTTGCAAGCGCAAGGACCTGAGTTTGATCCCCGGTAACCATAAATTTTTTAAAAAGAAAGAAACACTGAGTCCAGCTTTCAAGTATTACTTGAGTGGTAACTAAATAAATATGGGCAGGGCTGATGTGGGATTTTTGTCCCCAGGAGTACTTCGATCTTTGGTGGAAGCATCCAGCTCAGGTGTGTCGGTATTGAGCCTATGTGAGAAAGGTGATGCCATGATTATGGAAGAGACAGGAAAAATCTTCAAGAAAGAAAAGGAAATGAAGAAAGGTAAAAAAGAGAGAGAGAAAGTCCTTCCCTTAATTTCCCAGGTTTTTTATTTGATCCTCTTTGTTCATTGTTTTTATTGTAATGATATATCTACCACTCCAGTTTGACTTGATATTTGGAGTGGCAGTGAGACACTTTCCTATCCAGTCCAAACTGATTATGTTTAAGCAAGTCCCTGAAAAAAAAATCCTTTCATTTCTCTAAAAAGCAATAGGGCTCCTGTGAGAGAGCAAGGTAGTAAGGCTGATGATTCTTTTTACAGGTATTGCCTTTCCTACCAGCATTTCGGTAAATAACTGTGTATGTCACTTCTCCCCTTTGAAGAGTGACCAGGACTATATTCTCAAGGAAGGTGACTTGGTAAAAATGTAAGGTTAAACCATTCTAGAGCATTTGTCTTTTTCCTAAGCATTTATATAGTGCCTATTCTTAATGCATTGCTCTGCTTTCCTTTCAGTGACCTTGGGGTCCATGTGGATGGCTTCATTGCTAATGTGGCTCACACTTTTGTCATTGGTGTGCCTCAGGTAAGTAGGTGGCTGCCCACAGATATTAGCCATATGGTCAGCTGGGTTACTGAACTTGCCAGGAAGACACTGATTATATTTGTTTGTCTACAGGGGACCCAAGTAACAGGGAGGAAAGCAGATGTTATTAAGGCAGCTCACCTATGTGCTGAAGCTGCCTTACGCTTAGTCAAACCTGGAAACCAGGTAAGGTATATATCCAATTCCAGTGGTTAGTAGAACCAAAGATGTACTGGGCACTTGAAATTACTCTGTATGGACTTAATACCTTTTCCAATAGTCCGCTTGTAAAACACGCAGCTTTTTGTTTTGTGAGACAAGAGTCTCACTATGTCGTTCAGGCTGGACGTGAACTCACTATGTAGTCTGGCTGGCCTCAAATTTGTGGGTAATCATCCTGCCTCAGCTTCCTGAATGCTGAGATTATAGCCATGTGCCATCATACCTGGTTTCTAGATTGTTTTTTATTTTGTATGTGCATCTTTTCCCAAAATAATAAGCGGTAGGTAGCTAATAAAATGTGTGTGGTGTTTTGTTTTTTTTTTTTGGTACTGGGGATCAAACTCGGAACCTTGTGATTTTGAGGCAGGCACAGTACCACTGAGCTAAATCCCTGGCCCTTGTGTGTGTGTTGTTGTTTTTGAGACTGGGTCTCACTGTGTAGTTGAGACTGACCTGGAACTCACTATGTAGCCCAGGCTGGTCTCCAACTCACAGAGATCCTCCTGCCTCAGCCTCCCGAGCACTGGGATTACAGGCATGCGCCACCACACCCATCTGTGTGTGGTTTTCGAGACAGGGTCTTACTTGTGTAGTTCAGGATGGCCAGCCATGTAGTGAGACCCTGTCCCAAATAAAGAAAAACTCACTGTGTATCCCAAGCTGGTCTCAAACTCCTGGCATCTTCCTGCCTCAACCTCTCCAGTACTGGGATTACACAGGCAAGTGCCACCACACTCAGCAATAAACAAACTTTGTTGTTTGTTTGTTTGGTACTGGGGATGGAACTGGGGCCCTTGTGCTTGTGAGGTAGGCGGCAGAATCACTGAGCTAAATCCCTGGCCCAGCAGTAAACAAATTTTAAAACTCAGTTCTAAAAGCTTTTTGGGATACTAGCGATTGAACTCAAGACCTAGGGCTTACCAGGAAGGTGCAGTGCCACTGAGTTTCATTCTAGGCCCCTAACAGCTTGTTTTTTACAAAAATGATAAAAGATACCAGAGAGGTAATACCAGTAAATAAATGTCAAAGAGAGGCTAAATGTGTGCATGGTGATGCACACCTATAATCCTAGCACTATGGGAGGCTGAGGCAGCAGGATTACAAGTTTAAGCCCATCCTGGGCACCTTATCTTTTTTAAAAAAAAAAAAATCTGGGTATATTGCTCAATGTGAAAGCTATCTCAGTGCCAGGAAAAAATAGACTAAAATTTGTTCTGTGATTTGCAAGACAGGAAGTGTAGGAATGGTAGAGTTGTCATGAACTACTAGAATTAAGCATGTTAGATTGACAGTAGAGACATTTCCCTCATACATTTCCAAAGATCTATTTAATGTTCAGACCGTTGTCTTTATGTATGTATGCACGTATTTTTGGTATTGGGTATCAAACTCTGGTCCTTGGTGCTTGCAGGGCAGGTGGTGGAACCACTGAGCTAACTCTGGCCCTATTTTTATTTTTTTAAGTCAGCATCTTGTGATGTAGTCCAGGCCAGCCTCAACTCCAGGCACTTCTGCATCAACTGGGATTACAGGCTTGCAATACCACGCCCAGCAAACCATTGTCTTTTATTATTTCTTGGCTGTGCTCTCTTGTCTCACACATTCATTTTGGAATTTTTTTTTAAATTTTGTTTTATATTTGGAGACAGCGTCTCTCTGTGCAGTTCAAACTGACATTGAACTTACTGTGTATCCCAGGCTGCCCTTGAACTCCTGGCAGTCCTGCCTCAGCCTCCAAGTACTGGGACTACAGATGTGCACCACCACACCCAGTCTTGAGTCACATTTTTAATGATTTTTTTTTTTTTTTTT